AAGTCACAATAGGAAAGACACGTGACTAGTTAACATCACAATTGGGGTATATTTTACGGAGTGGGGTGGGGATCAAGTCCCTAAGTCTTGGTCTTTAAGAGCTTTCCTGTATCTCTTACCCACAGGGGGAGCATGTGGTCCTGATGCTGGTTGTTCTGTAGGCTGCTATCTGGGCTCACAGCTTCTGTGCTGAGGTGGGCTGAGCAACCTGCTGTGTGTCTAACCAGGGCAGTGACTCAGCCAACTGGGGTAATCACTGCTTGTTGACTTCCTGGGGTGGAGATTAGTGAGGGGGCAAAAGCCCAACCATGGGCTGCTAACCATGATTTTTAAATGTTCTGGAAGGCCACACTCAGGAATTACGCCTGAACTGCTGGAGAATTTCCTCACGTCATAGAATCCTGGGATTAAAGGGATCCTAGGAGATCCTATCTGAAGAGGTAGTCAGTCAGCTATATGTCTGGGGTCTACTGGACTTCAAGTCAAGACTTGAGAGGGCTGGAGAGATGGCACCATCTGTAAAATGAGGACTTGAGTTCCCAGATCTCTAGTACCCAGGAAAAAAGCTGGGCACAGTTGAACACACCTGTGGCCCAGTGCTGTGGGGGTGGGGATGGAGCTCCTGGCTGCTCACTGGCCAGCCAGCCAAGCAGAATCAGTGGGCTGCAGGTATTTTTTTTTTTCGTGCCTCAAAAATATAAGGCTGAGTGCAGTTAAGGAAGATTTCCAACCTCTGCCTTCCACACATACCTGTACACACATGCACCTTCTTGCCCCAGAGTGTAAGTGCCCAGTAAAGGGTGTAAGAGAGTAAGGCAGTTAAGGTTGAGGGCCACATCTCTTGCTAGATACAGTAGGTGGAAAGCACCCAATCCTAGGCCATTAACAGACATTATGATTATGATGATTGATGTGAGCTTGGCCTGCGCAGTCTTTTGAAATGGATTTCTATCTGGATCATTCCTGCTTTAATGTTCCAAGAGAACAGTTCATCTTTTACCTAACGAAAGAAGGATAAATTTAATTTAAAATGTAATGTTCAAGCTTTCTTTCTACCTGACTATAATTCATACAACTGAATAGAGAAATATACAAGGACCGCCCTCCCAGATCTTTTTAGTGTGTATCTGTCTATGTCTGTGAGTGCATGCATATGTGTATGGGCACGGGTGCGTGAACCTGTGCACATGAACACCAGAAGAGAATGTCACCTCTCTCAGAGATTGACTCGGGATGATGGGCTTGATGCGAGAGCACTGGGATCTGAGCTCTTGTTTTTGTGATTGTGCAGAAAGTACTCCTAATCCCCTCTTTTCGCTGCCCCATTTGCAAGCATGTTATGATATCTTCTCTGCCCGCAAATCTTTTGCTTTGCAGCCAAAGCTGGGGAAGCACATGAATATATTTTCAAATACACACACACACACACACACACACACACACACACACAGAGACACACACACTCACACACACACTCACACACACACACACTTAATTCCCAGTTAGGAAGAAAAGGAGGCTGCCATTCTGATGAGTGTTGCTAATAAGACAAGTTGTCTTGGAGACCATTAGTGACAGAATTTCTGCGCCGGGGATGTCCAGCCCCAGCCCTGAGGGACCTCTGTGCCGCAGCCTCCTCCTGTGATTGACACATTCATCTCTCTTGCTCCTAGTGTCCTAGTGATGAGGCTTGCCCCTTTATTTTTATCTGACCCCAGGCCAGCTGTACTGATTCCAAGACAGGGAAGGCCCTGGCATGGCATCTGTCCCTTCAAGATGGCCCACTGAAGCAAACAATTCCCAGGCGCTTCTCTGCAAGAGTAGATCCTTTTCATTCAGCCTGATAGATACATGCCTGCTCTCTCGCACTGATTCTTGTTTGCGAATGAGACAGCGCTATATTATTTAGTTCTGAAAGCCAGGGACATCACTAAAAGTGGCCTCATGTTACTGCCTCACGGACCTATTAGCCACTCATTTTGCCGTTCGCACGTGTCATTGAGATGCAAAGTGGCTCCGGGTCTCATTACTGAACAAGGCCCTTTGTCCGACTGGCCCCGGTGTCCTCAGCTTTGCAGTTATTCCTTCCTCTGGTCCCCAGCAGGAACACTGTTACTTTGACATTCGCCACATTGGCACTGAGAAACGTACCCGTGGCAGGGAAGATTGCCACTGAAAAGACGGGTACCACCAAATTTCCCCTCAGATGCCAGCCACAGACTCTTCTTTGTTAAAGCATCCTGACCTAGCTTCTATTATCATCCATCAGCTGCTGAGCTCCTTCTCCCACGCTGGTGACCTTCTAGCTATCTCTTCCCTTCTTTGGTCACTCCCTGTTTCTGGGTGGCCTACATTCCCACTAGGAAGCAGTCAGTGACCTTGAGTGAGTTCCCTTTGTCTTACCCCCCTCCTCCTCCTCCTCCTCCTCCTCCTCCTCCTCCTCCTCCTCCTCCTCATGTCTCTTCAGCCCTAAACGCAGGGTCACAGCAGCCCTGTTTCTTCTGTGAAGATTTGGTGAAGCCACGTGCACGCACGGCACTTAGCACCCTGCCAGGCTGTTGGGGTTTCAATCTGAAATGTACCCACAGGTTCATCTTGCAGATACTGGAGGCCATGCTTGTGGTACTATTTGGGAGACGCTGGAACCTTTAGAGGGTGGGGCCTGGCTAGTGAAAGTAAGTAAGAAGGAGAGGGACTTGGAAAGTCATTCTTACCCTGGTCTCTTCCTAGCTCTCTGTTTCCTAGACAGCTCAGACATGAGGGCTCTCTACTATATACTCACACGGCCAAGAGCCTCACCATGCACTCCGCACCTTGAGGAACTGAGATCCCTCTGAACCCATGGGCCAATATAAGCTCTCCCTCTGTTAGGTTGTTCCTGCAGGTTACCCGATCACAATGGCCTGCCTCCACAGCTCTGCTGCATGCCTGTGTTGTCCCAAGTGCTAATACCAAGAGGAGCAAATGTGAGATCAGGCTAGGTGCCTATGGCTTTCTGTCATGTAGATTCAAACATTCATCAGACAAGCACACAGATCTATTTTAAAGCGGACCAAGAGGTAAAAGAAGAATAACTAGACCCCAGCCTAACCAAAGGATGCTTTAAGTAACATTTGAGTGGAAATCAGAAGAGACCTAAGAATGAACCAGGAGAAAATGGTGTCTGGTGCTGACCAGCCCTCAGACACATTGGAACAATGAAGGAAAAGTGCCCTCATCTTAGGCAGATGTGGCCCCACACCATGGAGCAGGGCTGAGTAAGCAGATGACAGACTGGGAGGTAGGGCCCTGCGTCTCCTCTGCTGGGCACCCTTGAGAAGAGACAGCCTGCATAGCTGTCCTGGTACCCTAGGGCTTCAGAGGAGCTGAGAGGGCTGGTTGGCTGGAACTGGGGAAGAGGCCTGGTTTCGCATGGGGCCAGAAAGTGGTCAGTAAACATCAGCTGCTGTCGGTGTGCTCCTGTGCTGTTCTCTAAGTTCACTGCTGCCATACCACAGTCTCCGGAAGGCATTTTAACTAGTGATGTGGTGGTGACAACCACTGATTTCTAGCACACGGGAATGGGAGAATGGGAAAACAAGACCCTGCGTATGGAAAGCAGGGCTCCCAGGAACAGAGCACTGCAGCCAGGAAAGCAGCTATTAGGCAAGAAGAGGCCAAAACAGAAGCAGCAAACAAACAAAAGGCCGTCTGCTGGGGCTAAAAGTAGAAAGTAAACATTAGGGAAAGGTCCACACAAAGCTGCGCTTGCAGGGGCTGATTATCTCCACAGCAATGTCTACTTCATCTCTCCATTGGAGGATGGCCAGCCCCAAAGCCAGAGCCTGCTGCGACGCTGCTCCCCTAGACAGGGTCTCAGAAACCACAGTCTTCCTGGCTTTGATTTCTTCTGTTTTGGAATAATCTAAAAGCATTTATTCACCCCAACATGCTGTATCAAGGTTCTCTCTCTCTCTCTCTCTCTCTCTCTCTCTCTCTCTCTCTCTCTCCATCTTCCCTCCCCCTCCCTTTCTTTCTTCCTCTTTCTTTTCTGACCTGGAGGTTGAACCCAAGGCCTTGTGCGTGCCAGGCTGGCTAGTGCTCAATTGCTGAGCGCCCCCCTATCCTTACCACTACTTTCCCTTTTGTTTGCAGAGGTCTCACGAGCTTCAAAGTTGGTTTGGGGTCAAGGTTGACTGGAACTTAGGCTGTTCCCACTTCACCTCTTAAATGGTTGGATTGTGTGTGTAAGTCACCAAGCTGGCTCATGCAGTGCTTAAGCTACAAAGTCCCCACAAACGCTGGTACTCTGTCTCTTGCGCAATGTCTATGTAGTCTTGGGTTGATGACATGGCTCTTGCATCTTTAAGGCCAATGTAACCTGAGTCCTTCAAAGGAAGAATGGGTTAGCTGTGGTTTAAGCGCACACACTGATTGGACCTGGGGAAGCGGCTCAGCAGGTCCAGTGCTCGCTGTGCAAGCTGGAGGACCTGAGTTTAGATCCCCAGGATCCATGTAAAAAGTCAAGTGTGGGTAACCCCCAGAGCTGGGAGTAAGGGGCAAACAGGAGACAGTCCCTGGTGCCTCCTGGCCAGCTGAACCAAAGAGCAAGGAGATCCAAGTTCAACTGAAGATCCTGTTTCAAAAAACACAGTGAACCATAACAGGGGGAGGGCAGTGGGTGTCAGCCTCTGTCTTGTACATGTGCACACTTGAACACACATACCCCTCCCCACTCCCCAGACATGCACACACACACACACACACATATGGAGAGAGAGAGAGAGAGAGAGAGAGAGAGAGAGAGAGAGAGAGAGAGAGAATAACAGTTGTGAAAAATCCCAGGTCTTAAGAGGAAATGCTAACTCAAGCGTACACTCTTCCATCAAAGATGACAGTTTTGCCCTCTAAGAATGGGGATGGATGAGGCTCTTAATCAGGAAGACTATTATGTTGTCAAAGGCATTGCCAGGATGAAGGATGGATTCTCACAGGCCTATGACCATTTTATTGCTTTTCAGCCCTCGGCCACCAATCCCCCTCTCGCTCCTACTGACAGAAGAAGAAGCGGTGATCAGGATCCAGTCCTTCTGGAGAGCCTATCTGGTAAGGGCTGTCTGTGACTGTGACAGTAGGCATGACTGGGACTTGTTGTGACATGGTGGGCCAGTGGAAAAACAGATTCATCTGCAGTTGAATGTTGCAACTCACATGTAGACCTCAGAGACAGGTCTGCAAACAGAGGGATTCGGAGTCTATGTTTTTAATCAAAACTTATTTTGCAATTACCATAAAAGAGACATTTGAGGGTTGGGGCTGTTGTAAGAGTGCCTGCCATACAAGCCAAGGTCCTGAGTTCATATACACAGAATCCATGTAAAAAACTAGGCATTGTGCCTGTAATCCCAGCCAAGGCTGGGTGGAGACAGACAGATCTCCGAAGCTCATTAACCATCCAGTCTAGCTTAGTGGATGAGATTCGGTATTAGTGAGAAGTCCTATTTCAAAAAATAAAGAGATTCACTGAGAAGACCCCTGATGTCAGCCTCAGGCCTACTCACTTGCGTACACACTCAATACCTTCCAACTTTTTAAAGTTGAGTTTGATTGGCCTGTGTTGCCTAAAAATAATATTGCAAGCCAGACATGATGGTCCATACCCATAATCCTAGCACAAGTTCAAGCAAAATTAACCTGGGCTATAAAGAGAAACCTTACCTCAAAAAAAAAAAAAATCAAACATACAAACAAAATCCAAAGGTTCATGTAAGCAGAGAGGAACACACATTATTTCAGAAAAGATAGACAAACGCCAAGTCACCGACAATGGCACAGCCATTACCGGCATTTTGGGGTCAAACTCGATAACTTGAGACCTCAACATGTACAACAGCACAGACTCTTTACTGGGAAAAAATTACCTTTTCTGTTGTAGTGGGCTCTCAAACCACTTTCCTATTTGAGATGTTGAGATTATTTCTTGATTTCCAAGACCGCTGTCAGTGTTGTGACACCTGTGGGTAGCCGTGTTTGTAACTTGTTCCGGCCCCTAAAATGGGAGAAATTCTAGAAGTAGAAATTGTAGGTCAAAGGTGAGCTTCTAAAGAGTTCCTGAGCCATGCTGTCATGAAGCCCTTCAGCAAAGGCGTTCTTTAAAAAATTATTGTCAAGGACACATTGGAGTGCCAGGCGTCTCTGTGCCACACAGTGCACACACAGTCTCTAAGTTATCTGGTGATCAGAGATCAAGGTTAGCAAGCTTCCAGATGAACGTGCAGTGCCCATTCCAGAGAGCAGCGCTCCCTCTACAGCTGTGGGGAGTATCAGGGACACTGTTCAGACCAACATCTTCCGAATCCTTTGGTCAGCATTAAGTACATCCGTGATGTAGCGCACGCATCACTGGCGTCTCCATCTCCAGAGCTTTTCATCTTTCTTAACTGACGTTTTCCCCATGGAGCACCAACTCCTCATACCCCTGTTCCCTCCCAGCCCCCAGCCCCCACCAGCCTGCTTTCCATGGTCATGGATTTCACTATTACAGGAATCTCATGGTGATGGGGAATCTTCTCTGTGGACATGGTAAGATTTCAAATAACCTAGGAGATACCTCTTGCACACACGGGACAGTATTTCTAGAGGTTCATCTGGGGTGCGAAGGACAACCCTGAATGTGCACAGCACCATCCCGTGGGCTGGGGTCCTGGGCTGAATAAAAAGGAGAAAACAAATTCTTTTCTGTCTGCTTCCTGACTGTGGATTCAATGTCACCAGCAGCCAGACCCTTGCCACCGTAACTTACACAACACAGAAGACTACACCTTCAAACCACAAGCCAAAATCAGCCCTTCCTATCTGTGCTGGCTAGTTTTATATCAGCTTGACACAAACTAGGGGTAGCTGAAAGGAGGGAACCTCATTTGAGGAAATGTCACCATGAGAATCTGGCTGATTTTATGCAGTGCTGGAGACCAAAGTTAAGGGTTCATGAATGCTAGGCACGCATCCTATCAACTTAGCTATATCCCCCAGCCACAGTATCCGCTTTAAAAAACATCCTTTGCATTTATTTTCTTATTTATTGCAAGTGTGAATGTTGCATATGAGTGTGCATGTGCACATAAGTGCCACAGCATCTGTGGAGGGACAGAGGACAGTGTTCGGGAGTTAATTCTCTCCTTTCACCATGTGGGTTCTGGGGGTGGAACTGAAGTCAGGCTTGGTGGCACATGTTAGTAATACATACCAATTATGGAAAAAAATAAATGATTCAGATCACTGATTGGTATTTTGCCTACTAGAATTTTCTTATTCATATAGGAAATTTTACTTTGTTTTTACAGTTAGGGGTGCTAAGTGCTGTACTGTGCGCATGCTCTCCTCTCACTGACAGATTGGAAGTAGCTTTCCTTGTCAGCACACAAAGGCTGATGGTTCTGTGATATGCACTTATGTTTTATTTCTGTGCATAGCTTGAATTATAATCTGTTGACCCATAAGCAATCCAATGTTCTTTTTTTGTCTGCCTTGTAAGTTGCAGTTTTATGCAGAATATCCTCATATGTCTACACGCTTGTCTGAATTTGTCTGTAGGCTAATTGCTGGTGGTGGGTGGAGTTCATAGCATAAGGACCGAGTTACCCCCCCCCCCACACACACACACCTTTTATTGCTAAGTTAATCGAGAGAGGCCAGAATCTAGCACTAGACAGGTCTGGGTGCTCACTAGCAGCATATTCAACTGTGCCCCACATTTTGATGGCTCGGTGGCAGGAGGAAGGCAGAGATGGGGAGGGAGCCTGAAGTATGCCTGGGTCAATGGAGTTTTGAGTCATGTAGGATTTAGATTTGGTAAGGTGTATGCACAGATTTACTCAATTATGGAGTAAAGAAATAGTCAGTATAGTAGTATTCAGAGCATGTCTAGTCCAGTCCCGCAGATAATAATTCATAATAATACTCCAGATAGGAGTCGGAGAGGTGGCTGAGTGGTTAGGAGCACTTGTTAGTCTCGCTGAGGACTAAAGTTCAGTTCCTAGCATCCGTGTCAGGCCTCTCACAGCTGCTTGTAACTCGGCTTCAGGGAATCCAACACCCTTTTCTAGCCTCCAACGGCACCCACATACACAGGCGTGCACGGCACCCATATACACAGGCGTGCACGGCACCCACATACACAGGCATGCACACACACACATACACACACACATAATTACAAACCTCAAATCCTGCCAACATTTTGATCTCACCAGGTGTGGGGGCATGGGACCTAAAAGACAGGGCATTTTGAGAATGTTAAGTCGTAGGCAGTGGGTGTTCAATCCATTCCCATTTAGTTTACTTATCTCCCTACCCCAACCCAGGCCTTTCTCTTTGGAAAAGAGCCACCCTAGCCCGGTGGGTAGGGATCTGACCCTGAACATAGCAAGGTGTTGAGACTGTAGGCTAAGCAAGGATGGAGAGACAGCGAGGATGCCAGAGAGAGCCTGGCTGCATTGTTCCTGTCAGTCATGGGAGGCGCAGCTCCTCCTGGACAGCAGGAAGAGCAAGCTGGGTTCATGTTGGGCAGCTGACTGGGCTGCTAGGCCTGGCAGCTTTTTCTTTCTCTAAACTCGCTGTAGCCGCTGGAGGTTACACGGGAAGGACAGTCCACAGGAGGACGCAGTCCTGGCTGGGCATACAGTATTGTGCCATTGTGGCTATTAGTTCAGTTTCCTTAAGAAAGTGACTTTTAAACAGGCCGCATGGCCTCCGCATTCCACTGTGACATCTCACGGGCTCCTGTCACGGGGCCTTTGCATTGCTGTTGATTCTTTCCACCTGCCACTTCCCAGTCATGGCCTTCGCTGTCCTCGCTGAGGCTTCTCCAGTGGCTCTCTGGTCACCTCTTCAAAGGCAGGGCCCTCTGATCACACCCACTCGGCTTGCTCCCTTGTGGTGTCACCTGTTTAACCCTGTAGTCCACAGGCATCTGTTTGACTCCCCTGCCGCGACTCCAGCCCCAGCACTCTGCTGGCATTGTGCACTCCTAGAGTTTTAGAAATGAGTAACTGAATGCTTAAATCATCTTCAAGAATGAATAAGAGACGAGTTGTTCCATTTTATGAGCCCTCCTCTGTGATTTACTCAGGCATTTAAACATGAGCTCCTGGGGGGAGTCGCTCCTGCACCAAGATGCTTGACCTTAACAGCTGCCCCCATTAATCTCCCAGAGATGGCACTTAGGAAACACTATGCTGAAGTTGATGTGTGTGTATATAAGTGTGTGTGTGTGTGTGTGTGTGTGTGTGTAAGTGAGAGAGATTGGATTCATTTTATCAAAGGTATGCGTGACCCAGCTCCTCAGCAAGCCTTGCAATTTGAGAAACTGAAGAAGGCTGTTGAGATGACAGCCCCCATGCAGGCTGGACCCCAGACGTCAGCTCCAGGTTTGTGTGTGGGTCCTGTAGGGAAGATGGAGTCTCCTTCCGACAACTGATATCTGCCAGCAGGTGCATAGACCTTGCTATCCAAAGTCAGACATGGGGTTGTGCAACAGGAATGTTAAACACGGGGAGGGGGGGCACGGGGGCACGGGGGCGGTGTGTGCTTGTATCAGGTTACAACCAGTCCCTCTTGGCTGCAGCGTGGCCACCTCTCTGAAGCCTTAGTGGCTGGCCATGCCCTTTGGAGATCTGAAGAGCAGTTTTGGCCCCAGCTTGCTGGTGAAATTGAATTCCTAGGGTGGATTTCTCCTCTGTGGATCCACTTGCCTTTCTCAGATTTCTGCCCGTGGTTTCAGGGCATCTGACTACCACACGCCTTCCCCTCTACCAGCCTCATCCAGTCTTTCTTTAGGCCATCTCTTACGTAGTTGTTGAAATAATGTATTTGAATGTTTATAGTTAGCTACGAGAACGCCAGCTATAATGTTATTGTGGTTCTTGGTTCTATTTTACTTAATACGGCACCACCCTGTGCATTCCTGAGTGCTGGGATCACCAGCATGGACCATCACACCTGACTCTAGGCTCAGACTTTGTTGTTGTTGAGGGCTTGGGGATATAGCCCCATGTCCCTAGCTCAGCAGCAGGGTTTAGTCCCCAGCACTGCAGGGGTGGGAAGAA